CTCGTGGGAACCAGACTAAAGCACAAGGTATGCCAAAGTCAATTGAAACAGCGATAATGAAGAAAATCTGAACCTTCATATGGGATAACAAAAGAACATCACTGATAAGTCCATCCCAACTAGAGCATCCAATTGAAGAAGGAGGCCTAGGACTATTAAACATCAATATGAGAAACAAAGCAATAGAAATCACCTGGGCAAAAGCCTTCATGGATATGTCCCCAACCTGCCCAACATGGGCATTTGTTACAGACACAATAATTAACACCCTGAAACCAAACAGGATCAGAAACCAGGAAGACATAAGCACCTTTCTCACCTCTTGGGACCCCCTGACACAAGGTAAACGAGCCAGTCGTCTACCACAACTAATAACAAACATGTTGAAATCAATACACAAACACAATGTAAGTTTTGCACCAATTAAACTATCTGAAAACCTCAAAAACCAAATGCCGGCCTGGTGTCACCTTGGCGCACCTCCCAAAACATACCACAAAAGAAAAGATAACTGTTTAAGATATACCCACCATATAACATCAATAAAAGACCTAAGAGATGCAACAACTAGACTCACCAATCCTGATACCCATACAACCAAAGCATCATACCTCTGTGATGCCTGCATCAAAAATCGCCTAGCAGGGTGTAAAAACCCAGACAAATGTGCATGAGCTGCCAAAAAAATATTAGATAATCTAACTCCACTATTCAACCCAAATACATCCCCCAAGAAGGATGACCTAACTCTAATGCACCAGAGAACAGAAAAGAACAGGAGAATGAGATCACAACAGGATGGTGAAATCCTCTTCGATCCAACCATCACAGCAAAAACCCATATATCTGAATGTTTCTGTATCTTTGTGAACACTGAATGCCTAGTACAAATACCTGCATACAGACTCCATGCTCCAGGAGCAGGCAGAGGCGAAGAAACTGAACCAATAACCATATATACCAATGGCTCTTGTAAAAATAACAGTAAATACAATGCCACCTGCAGTAGTGGGATATGGATTGGAGAAGACCATCCTATGAACAGAGCAATCAGAATACCCAGAGTAAAACAATCAAACCAGATTGGTGAACTAGCAGCAGTCCTAGTTGCCCTGCAATCTACAAACCCTCTAACCCCAGTAAAAATTGTAATGGACTCAAAATATGTAATAAAAGGCATCACCACTCACCTAAAAGAATGGGAAGACACTGGATGGATTGGAGTCAACAACGCCAACATGTTCAAGGCCATTGCATACCATCTATGCCACCACCCCACCCCAACTACCTTCAAATGGGTAAAAGGACATCAGGGAAACATAGGAAATGAAAAGGCTGACCAGCTTACACTCACCAGTACTCTATGTCAAGAACCTGACAAACTCGACACATATGTCCCCAGGAATTTCAACCTACAAGGAGCAAAACTATTGATGATAACACAAAAATTAGCATACAAAGTGATTGCAAACACAGCTAACCTAGAATATAAGAAAACAACCTTGAGCCTACTAGATCTCACTAGATATGCCATAGAGTCACTAACCTCCTCCCTCAAAACAGATGCTGCGATCTGGAAAGGTTGCAGACATAAAGACATCACAAAAAAAATACAAATGTTCCTGTACAAAACATTAAACAACTGCATACCACATCAGTGACTTCTGGTCCCAAATACCCACTTATAAACATAGAGCAATATGCCAAATGTGTCAAGGGGAGACAGACTCCATGGAACATATCCTTATAAACTGCAGAGACCCAGTGAGAAAAATGATATGGGACCTAGCCAAAAAGTTATGGCCAGATAGACACAGACCTTGGCCAACCCCACACATAGGCCTCATCCTAGGATGTGGTGTTATCACCCTCCCACAAAGACTGAATAACAATAATGCAAACAACAATAGAACTCCAACTGGAGCTTCACACCTCCTGAGAATATTAATCTCAGAATCAGCCCATCTCATACGGACAATGAGATGTGACAGAACGATAAACAGCACCACATACACAGAACTAACTGCTACAAACTGCTGGTATAACACAATAAACAAAAGACTGCACCTTGATAGAGCAATCGCAAATAAAGAAAAAAGAAACACAAAAACAGCAATGACTGTAAAAAACACATGGTCAAACATCATTGACAACAACACGCTTTACACCCAGGATGACTGGATGACTAACTTAGAGGTTTTAGTGGGTATCGGTCTACCTAGGCCCTCGCAGACCGTGGTAACCAGGTAGGAATAGAGTCCCACACTACTCCAACAAATCGGAGTGTGCATAAGTCGCATTTTCCCTCGGACGACACCTAGTATTAGAGGTCGCTATAAGCGTTTACGTAAGGGCTAGACAGTGTCAGTTGCTTCGTAATATTATCGCTTTTCCAAAAAAAAAAAAAAAAAAAAAAAAATATTCCCAGCTCCTGAACCAAGTCTCTCTGCACGAGATCGGATGGAAGATCGACAACCCAATGAAGTTCGTTTAGATCGCAAGGGAAAATCCTCCGTACCCGCTATCACAGTTGCTCGTCGTGGAGGGCACCGTGGATCCTTCAGAGGCTCTGATTCTAGTCGAGGTCGTGCGCCGTATCGCCCATTCAATCAAAGGAACTTTGTCCCCTACTCTACCACATCTCCTGCGTGGACACATTCGAACAAAATTTCCCCGGTCCCTTCACTGAATACACCGAGTAGTTCGTTTGTTAAACAAGAGCCTTTGGGCCATTTAGAACAATCGAACTTGCGCCCGCCGAAGCGAACGAAGTTTAATTCTCAGCATTTCCCCCCAGGGGGGTCTCAAGGCTCAGAGAGGCACTTCCAAAGGCGAAGATTTCCCCATACCAACTTTGCTTTACCTTCACAATGCCCGAAAGTCATCCCTGGCGATCACGAAGCACAGGCTGTTTTCTCCCCTTACAAAGAAATACATGACGATCGCTCTGTTCCCGGAAAGACGAGTGAAGGTGAATATCAAAATATCTTAAATGACAGTCATTAATACACGGGCTTTTGGTTTCTCTGTGTAACAGCTGTGCAACGCGATTTGCCTAGTGGTAAGGCGCATATTGTTCAAAATAAGTCCCAATATGATAAGAGTGCGAATAGCACTCAGAAGATTGTAATGGTGACTTAACTATACTCGACCATGATCAACTCCCTTACTGAATCGCAGAAAAAGGGCTGTGCTTCTGGATATGGCGAGGAGACCTCTAAAGTCAGTCCCATCGTGGGTGCAAGCAGCTCAACTCGAAGACTGCCACAGCTAGCGGAATCTTCTTTGCCCGAGTCATTGGAGGTGGTTCTAAGCTCCTACCCAACACACGCAGCAATACCTCGAATAAAGACCTCCGCTCTACCAGGCAAGCAGAGAGCCTTTCCATCTCGAGTTGTAGCTCCTCCAGAAGAGATCATTGACCTTACTGTTGATCTTCCGGACACACGCGTGATTATTCCTCCTCCCATACCGACGCGGTTCTTCCGCTCTGGAGTCCTAAAGATCAAGTCGGTGTCTTCTAAGGCACCCTCAGCAGTGGATGTTACTTCTGCTGCAGAACCGATTGTTTTACTCGATAGTGATTCCGATGACATTGTTCCACTAAGGGAACTTATCTGCAGAGATGGCGGTAGCATGGTTGCGAAGTCTCGAGAAGAACCGGTTCAAGCATCCTCCGAGACGCTAGTCAACGGTCCGAACGAGATTTCCTCCTCAGGTCCCGCTTTGATGCTCAGTCCTGGTCCTGGTCCTGCTCGTCTTCCTCTCAACACCCACGATAAGCCCCGCCGCGTGCTCAGCGCACACTGGAGTTCGTCTCTTATAACTGTATCTATGCGCGGCTTCGTTGAGAGCCTGGGTATGCCTAACCTGGTGTCCCAGCATAACCTGCGTAGGCCAACTGCCCCAACTCAAGAGTCCGTTGATGATGCGTGTATGCTTCACGCGGGTGATACGTCAGTCGTTGTCCTGGCTCATGCACGTGAAGAGAAACAAATTTCGTACTTGACATTTCAAACCACCAGGGTAAGTGTCCGCGGGTGTTCATCATCACCATTTAAATCTATTTAAATTCATAAGGGAACACATTTTCGCGTTGTCGATCGTCCTTGGAATAGAACCAAGAAGGGGGGGGGCGAGTGTTGTGTCGACAATGATGCAACCACTTATGTTTGCCAGTGGAGGTCATGATCATGCTGTTCATATTTGGAATTTTTCTGCAGATTTTATGGGCGTCTCCTCGACACTTTTGGCAATCAAGCACACATCTATGATCCAGTCCCTTCTTCCCATTCGTGATACTAGTCACAAACTCATATCCGCTGGTGCGGATTGCAATGTCCATTTATGGGACCTATCTTCGGAACGTGTTGTACATACATTCAAGACATCCAATTCTCCGTATCACGCACATAAGACGGAATCACCTTTCTGCACCTTGCTTGAGGTGCACATGGCAATTCATCGTCCAATACGATTATATTTCTAACGTGACCACAGGTTGGCCATCGAGATCTGCAGTTCGAGCTCCGTGACCATCGTATGGTTCCAGAGCACCCGGCTGAACGCTTTGGCTTTTTCACGACTGAGTTGCATGGTCGTTTCATCAAAGGAGATACTTGGTCTCACTTTTTCACCTCGGGAAGCCGCAATGGTGGTGTGCGTCTCTGGGACTTGCGCAATGTTCGGGAACAACTTGCATCTGTATGTTGCTTTCACCTTATCGTACAGGTTTCGTTCATTCAACTTCAATTCACCGAAGGTCTCGTGTTTCAGCAATGACCAGGTGGTGCAGGTGTTGAAGACGGAGTCTGACCTGTTGGCCTTTTCAAAGCGCGGTGATGTGATGACATTGAATCACACATGAAATGGACACTCTAGTCATCGCAATTCCAGCGACGTGCATTATTTTATTATTTAGTTTTATCCCTTTAATTGTCGTCGTATACTATAGAGCACGGGTATTGGAACGATAGGCCTGTGGTACCGCGTGAACAGTCATTCACTTGCAACATCACAAATCCGTTGTTTTGTTCCGACGTACTCCGAACAATGTCAGATCGTTCCCAGCTACAGCGGGAAGTTGATGCAGCATATACCATACAAACGAGGGCCGCGACGAAGGTGCGAATGACAACAATTCCGCATGCTAGTCGTTGAATCACAAGCTGAAGCAAACATATTGAACAGGGAGCAGCCCAGCAGGAGCTTTCGGTGTTGGGGTCGTCACGTTTGCCCATTATGCGTGGCCACTCTTCCGGTGCGAGTGACGACGGATGGCTACACAGTAACTTACACATCGTATGAAAGACGACAAACACTCCCATTCAAAGCATTCCTGGTGTCCGATGTAAGTGTGTGCCAAGCATCATCGCTTCAGGCAGCTACTAGTGTACCACTGACTCTCCCTTGCAGTCACCATGGCTGGTCTGGTGATTGGGGCAGATAATGCCCTTTTAAAACTCACGAGGCAGAAAGGCGGCAGGCTGAGC